TCAGGGTGGCCGGGCCGTCGGTGCTGCTCAGCGGCGACAGACCAACGTGTGTACGTGCACGTGCACGGCGCCTTTGCGCGCCGCGTTGCGGAGCGATGCGTGCCGCGTTGCGGAGCGAGGCGCGTGTGCGTAATGCGTGTGGTGCGTGGAGAGAGCGCTTCTGCTGCTGGGTGCCGCACCACTCTGCCAGTTGAGAGCGGGCGGCGCTGTTTTCAGTGTCGGTGTGTGGCTGACTCCTCCTACGTACTGTGGTGGGGGTATGTATGTATGTATGTTGGGGATCTGCTTTGTATTCGGATCCTTTGTATTGTTGGGGATCCGCCGGAAACTCGCGCCCAAATCTCGGGCGGCGGGGTCGCTCAACAGCCAGGGCGCGAGCGGGCACGAACGATCTTGTCCGTGGTCGTGCGCACGCACACCATATTGCCATTGTTACGGCAAGGCGCCATTTGAGGGAGGTGCGGACCATCCCTCAGACGATCCTTGCGCGCTGGCGGTGTGGTGCGGGAGACCGCAGGAGCGAGAGGGGCGGGCCGGGGCCGGAGGGAGGCGGACGCGCGGGCGGGCGCGCGGGCGTCGAGGGTGGGGCACGGACGCGCCTGGCGCCAACCGCCTCGGCTCCGTACGCGGTCGTAGCATGAGGGTACGTAATAGAAGGAACTCCGTCGGAGCTTCCGGTTTGCGACATCTTTTTTGGGCCGGGGGACCAAGGCACTCTTGCTCATTTTCTCTCTCTAGGTATTCCTAAGAATAGGGCGACTGGCGACGGCAAAAATGCAAGCCCCGCCCCTGGCCACTGTTTACGCGGCTCGCACAAACCTGCGGCAGTGACCCGAGACCTCTGTGGACTATGTCACCAAACAAGTCTCGCTATACCGTCCACCAGCAGCGCGTGCCGAGCTCCGCCGCCGAGTTGTCCCGCAGGAACACGCCCGCCACCGAGAGGGCGAGGCCGCCCCAGATGAGCGTGTGCATGGCGACGCGCCAGCAGAAGCCCGCGCGCACGCCCGGCTTGTGCGAGAGCCACAAGCCCACCAGGCCGGGCGCCAGCGCCACGAAGCCTCCAACGCTCAGAGTGCCGCCCAGCACCGTCATTAAGCCGAGGTCGGTGACCACAAACGCGCACGCCATCACGCTGCCCGCGATGCCAGCGGCGGCAGCTGGCACCGCCCCCGCACTGCCCGGAAGCAAGCCCC